CTGTGCTTTTGTAACTATACTAACATATTTGATACCAATTTAATATGAAGTATAAGAGTAGATGATTTCTAGTTCATCTGAATATATCATATTTCATAGCTAGAAAAATAATCTATGTAGCTATTTGTGAAAAATTTGCACTTTGAAGTGCTAAAAAAGTTGTGGCGATGAAATCACCTCATTTGTTCACATTGCTTGAAGCATTGAGTGAGAACATTTTCAGCACAGGACCAGAGAGACCAGGATTAACACATGCGCTTCATCCTGCCCCCCTCCTGTGCACACTGTGCCTTATCAGGGTTGTGTGCTGATGTGCCTCAGCTCTACACCAGGCCAGAGAAACTGAGCATCTACCTGCGCTGCACGTCATTGTTTGCTGGATGTGGGGCTGCAGCTGTGGGCACAAACGTGATCTGCAGGCCATTCACCAACAGCAATGTCCACCGCTGGGGAACCTGCGTGCTCAGTGAATGACTGGCGGCAAGATGCTTAACTGTCGCAACGTCCGTAGCTAACTTCTTTATTCAGTGTTCACATAGAGCGGCAGCACTATCTACACTTGGACTAACAGAGTATTTTATGTGTCTTGCCACACTTTGATCCTATGTACTACAATATCTTAGAACTACTTCAGAAAAATTAACCAGAAGTCCAGTGGTGGTAAAGAAAATTGCATAAGTAGTTCTTATTACTCATTTGTATTCTTTAGCATATGCCTGGGGTTTTTTTTTTTTGGGGGGGGTTAATGCAGTATACCTTGTTAAGCATGTCATTTGGCTGATATATTCATTCTTTTCCCCTCAAGAAATAGGCATTATTGCTGATTACACCATACAGGAGAAAAAGGAAGTAAACACTTTAAAGAGACTGATAGAGCATGACTGCTCTTAGTAGCTTTTCATTTTCTAGCATGAGGTTGAACTTGGAATTAGATGTCACCACAGCTAACTCTAAAAATAGTGCTGCAAATACAACTTTGCTTATAAAATGAATGCCCTAAGCTGAAAAATAAGTTGGAAAAAGGGCAAAATTTTCTAAGTCTGAACTTCAGAAGAATTTGACTGATTCTCAAGAACACTGGGGAAATCCATTGCCGATGGTGAAAACGTTACTTCTTTGACTTTCTAGAAACGTCTGTGCGAGAGAGATTATGTTCCTGTCTTTTCTTAAATTTCAGACCCTCACACCCGCAATAGGCTGGATTCTCAGAGGGTATTTGAAGAATTTTAGATCGGCTCTATATGATACCACAGGAGTAATCGTTCCTGATCGCTTTTAAAGACTGAACTTTGTTCCTGACTACCTGTAGGTGGGCGATCTATGTTTGCTTAATTTAAATTTGTCTTCACAATTTAATGGTTTGTTGTCAGATTTTGATAGCTATGAAATTGAATATATTGTCATTTTGAGATTGTGTATATATTATATGTATAATGTGTATATGTAACATAAGGACACTATATTAGCTATATCAGCTGTATTCTTTTACAGTAAAATATGGCCCTGTTGACATCTATATAATAGTGTATCTTTGGATTAAAGAAATAGCTCCAACAGATGTGTTTTTTTCTCCGAACAAGGTTGACTGCTGTGTAGGGACACCTTTTAAGGGAGTCACAGGTGAGGAGTACTTTCAAAGAATAATACAGAGATCAAAATCCTAGAAAATGAGTCAAGCGCTGAAGCTCCGCTGACACTCTGTAATTCTCAGCTCTATGTCAAATTTGTTTTTAAAAATTCCATTATTCTTGATACTACTTACTAAGTATCTTGTGTTAATAAGACAACTAATATTGTTATAGATGTACTATTTGAATAGAAAATATCAATGAAATATTAAAGTGTTTCATTATTTTTGGCAAAACTTTAAAATTTTTTGAATGATTAAATATAAAAAGTTCTATATTCAGCAGCTATAAAATCAGAATATATCGTAAATTACCGGGGAAAGTGTTTACTTGTATAAAATATTCAATATCTTCCCTGAGATATTCATTGGGTTTTTATTTACTTCTACAATTGAATTGTGAAAGATAAAGAAATACTTTTTACTTTTGCAAGTACAATTCTACCATACTTCCTTCTTTGCCCTTCAGTAAAAGTCACTAGAAAGTATTAATTTTGCATTTTTTTGTGACCTAAAATTTTTATTAATGAAAATTAGTGTTGTTAAAGCATAGTCAATTTTATTTCAGGAAATGCTGACATTTTAAGGTATCGCTTTCATAATTTGAAGAGGAACTATCTTTGTTTCTATTAAGGGGATTTTATCTTTGTTTCCTAGGTGTGGGTATTACCAATGTTTCCTCTTAATTAATTAAAATTTACACTTGTTAACATTGGCAGTAATTAGAGCATTTCTTTGTGAGTTTAACATTTCTATTTTTTGAGGCAAGAACATTTTATTCTATCTTACTAATACAGTGTGTAATACAAAATGCTTGCATTCCTTGTGTGGAGCTGGTACGTGTACAGGGCATGGCCCACTTCCTTGTGTTTTGTCCCCTCCTTCTCTCTCCTCTCTCCCCACCTTGTGATCCCCTTTCCATCTGAGAGAAATCCACGTCTCTACTTCCTATTATCTCTGCTGAATTTGACTCTTTGTCTTTCATCTGGTTTCCCACATAAAAGAAACCACGAAAGTATTTAAATTAGTGCGTCTACTTTATTTCCTTTAACATTATGGTCTCAAGGTGCTTTCATTTCCCTACAAATGCTTCAAGCTTATCATGACTTATGACAAAAGCAGATTAGTGGTGAGAACATTTAAATCTCTTGGTATCCTGTGACCAACATCTATCTGCCTGTTTCTTCCCATCCTACCTCTAGTAACCCATAATTCTATCCTGTGATTCTTTGAGATTCCACATATAACTGAAATCATACAGTATCTGCCTTTCTGCATCCAATTTATTCCATTTAGTATAAGATCCTTCACTTTTATAATATTTTTGTAAGTAAAAATTTCCTTTTTAAAGGCAAGATAATATTTCATTGTGTTGTAAAATACTATCATATTTTTGTCCATCTATTTTGTTTTAAATTTTTATTTAATTAGTACATATTTGCAGTACATAATGATTACATTCATCTTAAGGGATTTGTACGTGTACATAACACATCGTAATTCTTTTTGGCTTTTTGTCTCCTGCCTCACCTGACCCCTCCCTCCAAACTGTGTCTCTCACCTCCTTTACAAAAGCTCTAAGTTTGGGGTCCCATTCTGTAATAACCAGCTGTTTACTCTTTGGCAAATTCTTTAACTCTTCAGACTCATTTCCTTCATGGATGGGAATAAACCTATGGTGAGCATTTCTTCCACAGATAATAAGCAGATATGACATGCACCGAGGTACAAGTGCGTACACGAGGGCAGGAAGAACTGCTGTACTCCACAGTGAGGGTGGCCCACAGCAGGTGGAAGTCATGTGTACTGTCCTTAAAGCAAAGCTACAGTAAAAACTAACTTGCAGCACTTGCAGAGAAAAACTCAAGATGTCTTCACTATAGTTAGCGGCAGGTGAACTTTGACTCCCCTCTCTGACATATCAAAGAATGAGATTTTCCCTTTTTCTCAATGAGTAGTCACATGTTCCCCCTACTGTCAATTCATTCTCACTGATCAAATAAGTTTTAAATATAAATATTGTTTTATTTTGTCTACATCTATAACTGTTTTTCTGTTCTTCTGTGACCTGTTTCGCTATAGCTTGCCACATATTCTGATTTTATAGCTGCTGAAAATAGTATTGTTTTTAAAAATGTAATCATTCAAAACATTTTGACTCAGTTTTATGAACTTTTTATATCTCATTGATATTTGCTATTCAGATAGTGCAGCTGTAACAATATCAATTGTCTATTGACAACAGAAGAAACTCAAGAGTACATATTATCAAGAATAACAATGTCTTGCAAGCAAATGTCACACAAAGCAGAGTATTAGTGTATTAATCTAACTGCATTACTTGACTTTATTTTCTATAAATCAGGCCCAATCACCACCCCTCATCAGATCTGTAACTCCCTTAAAAAATCAGTCTCTTCATTTTTTGGGTTTTTTTCTATTTTAGTATAGGGTCTACAGGGTCTCACTACATGGATCTGATTCTTAGTGATCCTCCTGTTTTCAGCCTCCCAAGCACTGGTATTACAGGTGCATGCCACCATGCATAGTCTCAGTTGCTTTTTCAGCGTGCCCGGAGGGTGGGGCTGGCATAGCACTCTGGGGCTTGAACCCTGGCTGCTGTGCTCTGCCTAAGCAGGCACTGTAGTCTGCTGTGCTATCTGGCCAGCCCAGCCCCAAAATCAGCCTCTTCTAAGTGCTGTATATGCCACATCGCTAACACAAATCTTCTTTACCTCACATTACAAATTGTTACAGATTTAAATTTCTTGTCAACTGTCTTTGTGTGTGTGTGCGTGCGTGCATGCATGTGCACATGTGCACGTGTGTTTGGGACAGAATGCACGGCCTTGTACATGCTAAACACACACTCTACCACCAACCTACAAGCTTAGCCCATGGCTCATATTTAAATACTCATTAATTCACATGGCAATGCTTTTGTCTTTAATTAAATGTGCCTAGAACACTTCAGATCTCCTGCTGAGCACCAATGGATCCTTTCCTGTTTGCTTTCTTTTGTTCCGACTGTGCACATTCAGTGGATTCCCCAGGAATGCCGATCTCACTTCCTAATGCTACACACTCAGTTCACCCTTCAGGAGTCTCTTTGCTCCTGCTGTGTCCCCCATGTGCCTCTCCTGGGACAGTTTGTAGCCAATTTACAGGTATCAATTTACATTTCACACCACCCCCCAGACTATAACTCTGCAATGGAAGAGTCCAGCATCTATGCATTCATAGTGGGTAAAAGATATCTCTTGACTGTTTAATAGCCAAATACAGACATCTTACGTCGGTTTGACTTAGAAATTAAAACAGGATGGATGGTTTGCATTTTCATCTCCTTTGTTTTCTAGAGGTTCTGAGCATCATGGTGCCTGCCTTCCTGATTCTTTTTGGGGCCTTTGAGACACTGCAAACAGACTTATTTCCTGACAAAAAGTGTAAGAGCTTTCTAGTAAAACATGATTCTTTTTTTTTTTTAAATAGTATATTACAAAAAGGGTAGGATAGTTTCTTCCTAAGGAAACATACAACTTGGAAAAAAATTAAAAGAACATCAGAAAACATTCAATATGCTATTTTTGAGAAAACATTGTTGGAACATATGTATGTAGCAGTAGGAAACCCAGTTTTAAGTGTACATATACAGGCGTTCGGTTTGGGAGCCATGTCTATATGTCCCGTCTCATGAGGGATTGGTTGGTAGACCTCACAACAAATAATTAGAAACTTGTAAGTTTAGCTCTGAAAATTATTGATGTAATGGTCTGATAGGATGACAGAAACTGTCATGCGGTCCTGAATTAGAAGGGTCTACTAGACTTTATGATAAAGGCAATATTCTATCAGTGCGCTGGCCAATGCATGTAGGAGCCACTGTCTATGTCACTATTGAGCACTTCAAATATGTGTAGTATAGCTGAGGTAATGAGCATTTGAGTTTATTAAAATGCATTTAAATTTAAAAGGCCACAGTATCCAGCAGCTAACATAATGTACAGTGCAGACCAAGCCATAAAATGTCTTTTGTGACAAGTGGGCTGCAGACTCATGGAAGGCCCTACAAGATTGATGGAAAATTCTCACAACTGAGTGAGTATACAGGTCATAATTGTATGCACAATACTGTACTAATTTTGCTTAAAAATTAAAAATCTGTAGAAATATACATAGAAAAATATAGCAAAAATATCATGTTATTATCAATGTTAAGACTGCAGGCAAATTTTATTTTCTTTTTCTGTTTACAATTTTTTATATTGACCAAATACTAATTTTGTAATGAAAAGTTTTATTTTGAAAGTAAAGAGTGGTGCATGAAGGGGGAAAAAGTCTTTTCATTACATAAAAGCCTACCTAAGCAATTACATTCACAAATACTTTTGACTGACTCACAAAAAATACACTTCACACCATGGACCATCAGACATAAACAAATATGTACTGTTACATTATGTAAGCAAGAGGTTGGTTGAGAAGCTCTTATTGTATCTGATGCACGTTGGTGTTTTCCATTCTATTTTTCTTTTTTATCAATACAAATGTAGTCACAACACAATATATTGTTATCACAGCATATTAATGAATAATTATCCTTATTTTGAAACCTATAGTTAAAAATAAAGATGTATATAACTAAAAATGTAACTATCCAGCAGAAAAGTATAACCACAAGGTACAAAAGGTAAAGCTATATTAATATGCTGAGCTGTAAAAGGCTCAAGTCAACAACTTCTGACAATTGCCAGTTCTGCTGATAACCCACAACTATTATGGACTATTGGATTATATTGAGATATTTTGCTGAATTCAAGTACCTACAGTATTTGAATTGGTGTCAGGTATGAAAAAGTCCTTTAACGACTTCTGCAAATACAGCTTCTCTAACAGCAATGGAACACCCATCTCTGACAAAACAAAACCAAAAAAAGGGATATAAATGAAAGACCATTTTGTAGTAAAAAAAAAATCTTTATATACAAAATAGGATAGATATACAGCTACTTTCTCTTAGTTCAGTGAGAAGAAAGATTTGTACTACTGTTGTTTAGACAAGAGATCATGTCTGCATCTTGTACTGTGAATAACTACTACAAAGACAACAATTGAGCATAGCACTAGTTAATTGCTAAAGACAGCAATATATTTATCATTGTAACGGTCCCACTAACTTGTTTTGAAACTGTCTTTTTGCTATTTCTTTCTCATTAAAATTAATAAAAATAAATAAATGAAAGGGGCTCCGTGGCGCAATGGATAGCGCATTGAACTTTTAGAGGGTGAAGGCATTCAAAAACAAGTAAATAAAAATAGAGATGTAATAAAATGTTTGTATTTCAATAACAACCATGTAAATATTATAGGTAAATACCTCAGCATGGTAAAAAAGGATAAAACAATCTTAAAGAAATTTCTTGTAAAAGTGTCTCAATATTCTGCACTCTAATAGACTAATAAAATAATATGCTACACAATTAAACACTTTTTAAAATTTTTGAGCGCTATGTACAGTCAAATGATATGATACTTATTCTTCTTTTTTAATCAACAGTTTTACTTCTCCCCCCCATGAATTTTACCATCCAAGTTACTGGTTTAGCTCAAGTTCTTTTACATTGGGAACCAAATCCTGATCAAGATCAGAAGAATATCAATCTGAAATATCATGTGAAAATAAATGCCTCACAAGAAGAGGACGTAAGTATTCTAGTAACAGTTGTTAATTAGTTGTCATTTTTTCATGTTTTCTTTAATAATTGAGATTTTAAATAAAAAGACAATTATTAGAGAGCTTAGCATCTTGGTGGAAGTAGCAATTACCTAGTGCTATGCTCATTGTTCGGCAATGAACAGCAGCATGTAATAGTCTGTCTTTTGGACATCTTCTTTATGAAAGAACATTTAGAAGCTTTTTCAGTACAGTGGATTAAGTACTGGTTTTATGTTTCTTCTAGAATGGAAAGAGGAACACAAGAGAGCAGCCTAGTAGAGTGGGCAGTGCGCAGATGCAGGGTCAGAGAGGCCAAGTGCAAGCCCAGCCCCTTCATTACGCCAGAAGGGACCACTCTCTCGACTTCTTGGAGACTCAGGTTTACTGTAGGTTCTGTCAAAGCACATGCCACATGGTAGGTGCTTAATCAAGACAAAGAGAAAGTGACCTGGATTAACTGTTGCACAGGAATGATAGAATTCTAGACTTTTCAACACAAAAAGCTCTGGAGAGGGACTGGCATTAGAAATGGGAATCAAAAAAAATTTCAGTCTTAATAACACTATTGCCTCTGTTTTTATAAGGAGAATGTCTTCATGTGTCATTGAAGAGTGATGTAATTATTACAATTATTTTAATTTCTTCTACCCAAACTACTATGTTATGGTGTTTTACTTATGTATAATTTGAAAAGTGAAAGTAAAGGAATATTTGATTAAAAATTCGTCTGTTAAGACTTTTTCCCCTTATGTATTTTGCCTTGTGGGTTTTTTATTTTTAGTATGAAACTAGGAACACCCAAAGCAAATGTGAAACCACCCTGCATCAAGGGTTTTCAGCAAGGGTGCGTACCATCCTGTGGCGTGACAGCTCCTTTCTAGCCAGCAGCTGGGTCTCTGCTGAACGTAAATCCCCACCAGGTAATAAAAGGCCTTTAAGTGTTCGTTTTTATATTTTAGACTTTTCAAAGCTGATAAGTAGTAACAATTTTCTTTAGTCAATCGCCAGCTCCTGTGGATACTCCTTAGTGCCATCTATACCCTGAACAAGGTTGTCCTCACTTGTTATTATGACCTATCCAATTCTGTCAGGCACATCTCTGCAAGAACTCTTGCTGTCTGTATTTTGGTCGTAGTAGAAGGCTGGTGCTTCTGATACTTAAAACTACTGGTCTAGTGATCTAGTGATACTGCTAGAAATACACACAAACATGCATGCACATTCACACACACAGAGGGAGGGAGAGAGGGGGAAGGGAAGGAAAGACTGAAGAAAGGAAGGAGGGAAGAGGGAAAGATTGGGAGGGGGGAGGGGACATGTGAGTATACCTAATAACAACTGTTTCTATTTACCTAACCCATGGGTATTTTTAAAATGATTCTCTTGTCCACATTACCAAATGAAAATATGCCCCTGTTTTAAATCAGCTTTCTGTTGTTCTCATAGATACCTAAGATAACCAATTTATAAAGTTCAATTGGCTCCTGTTCTCAGGGGCTCCATTCATGCTAAGTTGGCCCCACTGCTTTTAGGCTATGTTGTAAAGCAGTATATCACAGTGGAAGCCCAAAATTGGGGCCGGGGAGATGGCTCAGGGGCCAGGGACATGGCTTGGTAGAATAAGCGCTCCTCTGGCAAGCGCAAGGGCCTGAGTTCAATCCCCGGTTCCGCCAAAAATAAAATAAATAAATAAATAAATAAAAAAGGAAAATTCCTCACCTCATGGCCTAGTGGCAAAGAGAAAAGGAGGGCAGGGGTCCTACTAGCCCCTGGAGGTCCTACCTTCAAGGACCCTAACACTTCCCTCTAGATCCCAACTCTTAAAAGTTTCAACATTCTCCAGTAGTGCCATGGAATGGGAAACTAAAGCATTAATAAAAAGAGCTTACACTTTTTCACACCATAGCCACTCCTGAATTGTGCAGGACAGAGAACAATAAAGATCCTATTTGCTCATCATAACATCATTTTGACCATATACTTGGAAATTTGCAGTGGGCTTGATCTCAAGTAGAGGTTCATTCAAATAATTGGATGAAAACTGTGAGATAAGCTGATTTATAAATGCTAAAGTAAACTCGAGCATGGATCATCTGATTAATGTGTGGGGACATACACCTACAGTTGGCCCTCTGTCCCACAAATTCCATAGCTATATATTTAATTTACCATAGATTAAAAATTTCTAAAGCAAATCATCATTTCCATGCTGAGCATGAAGAGATTTTCTGTCATTATTCCTTACATAGCATTTATATTGCTTTAGGTATTATAAATAATATAGAGATGGTTTAAAATACGAGGAGAACATAGATTACATGCAAGATTACACTATGTCATCTGAGGGACTTGAGCATCAGTGGTTCATGGTATGAGGGAGGCACTCCTAAATCTACTCCTGAGGTTATGGAAGAATGACTGTATATAAATCTATATAGATTGTGTGTGTGTGTGTGTGTGTGTGTGTGTGTGTGTGTGTGTAAGACAGACAGACAGAGAGAGAGAGAGAGAGAGAGAGAGAGAGAGAGAGAGAGAGAGAGGCAGAGAGAGATGAGATTATTAAGGGCCGGGGAGATGGCTCAGTAGAATAAGCGTTTCTCTGGCAAGCGCAAGGGCCTGAGTTCAATCCCCGATTTCCAAAAAAGAAAAAAAAGAAAGAAAGAAAGAAGAAAATTGGTTTTAGCTAGTCTTCACCCTTTAACTTCTCTGTAGGTAACAGAAGGTTTTTTGCTGTACTTTCTCCTTCTTCCCCTTGAAAGAGGCTAAGTGATTCTTAAAAAAAATTCACAGCTACCTTCAACTACACTAAAATGTGCCCTTCCATCTTGCAAGGCTTCTACATTGGTGATGCCTTAGCCTGGGCTCACAATACATTTTGCCTTCTGTGAGCAACCACACGAGGGCCTGAATTTCCACAGTGCTCTGAAGAGCAGCAGCTAACCTGCTGCCAAGAGGAACTGAAATGCAAACAAGGCTTTCCACGTGTTCCACTTAATTTGGGAAAATCACAGATGAAACAAACATAAAGGAGCTTTATTTAAAATTTCAATATTTATTTATAGTCCTACTGCTGTATATAAGAGGGGATTTTAACATACTAATGTGCTTTGAGTCTCCAAAGTCATGGTGCTGCTTTGCAGTGTTACCAAACTCATTTCCTTCTAAACATCAATCTGTAATTCATGCAACACTTGGATACAAATCAATGAATCACACAATTCTGGGATGCAAAGGAGCACTTGAGACCTTCTTTGACAAATCTTCTAACTTACACTTGAAAGAAAAAAAAAAAAAGACCCCAAACTAGTAGGGCCAAGGTTTTACATTTTTGAGAAATGTGGTATTAGATTGCTGAGCTTGCTAGAAACTTGAGTTTGCAAATGACAGTGTAGGATACTTCTCATGACCTTTTGTATACGTTACTCATGAACACAACCCCCACAACTCCAACCAAAGAATAGTAGCTGGAAACCTCTTTGATCTCAGAACCTGGGGCTTTGTAATTCTACTTTCAAACCTCCAGCTGGCCCCTTGAAAATAGATTTCTATAAATAGGTGATTGTACTTGCTTTTTGGTGGTATATAAGATACTCACAATCACTTCAGTCTTGAAGTACAGCCCAGAAGTCATGAAGACAAAATTTTATTCTTATATTCAACCACCTAGGGTCTCCTGGAACCTCAATTGTGAATTTAACTTGCACCACAAACACTGCAGCAGGTAATTATACAAACTTAAAGTTATACCAAGTTTCTCTTCATTGCACCTGGCTTGCTGGAAAGGATGCCCCTGAGGACACACAGTATTTCCTCTATTATAGGTTAGTACCTCTTTTTACTTATGCAAATCGGTTGCTTCCTCTAGCCTTGTAAAACTCACGAATGCTACAATTTAGGTATGGCGCTTGGACTGAAGAATGTCGAGAATACAACAAAGATACCCTGAACAGGAACACTGCATGCTGGTTCCCAAGGACTTTTATCCATAGCAAAGCACGTGGCAGGCTTGCAGTGCATGTTAATGGCTCCAGCAAGCACGCTACAATCAAGCCCTTTGACCAGCTGTTTGATATACAAGCCATTGGTAAGACAGGCTCTTACAAAGCCAAAATAACTGAATCACAGAACTTCAGCCCTGGATAGAGAATGACTACTATTCTGATGCTCATAGCCATCCGACCTATGCTGGAAAATCACTGCAGCAGGAATTCTCAAATTCAAAACTACTGGCATTTCTGGCCAGATAATTCATGTCACAGGAATATCCTAGATATTACAGGATATCTACATCATTCCTGTTACTGCTGTGAGATACCAGTGAGGTATAACCCCTGTCAACCCTCACTGGTGGCCAAAATACCCCTCAGTCATTGACAAATTTCCCTTAAAGGAGAAATTTTCCCCTAGTTCAGAAAGACTACCAGGAAAAGTAAACTATTCTGAGGGCCCATTCCAGCTCTTATCAGCTCTAAGCCATTCCAAATGGCTTTGTGAATTTTCTTCCATGGGTCCTGTGATGGGGCTCTTTCCCCACAGGATGGTCGCTCAGTGGTTCAAAGGTGACCAAGGTTCCCATGCTGAGGCCTTCCCTGAGATAACTGTGCACCCCTATCCACTCCCCAGGCCTTGTTTTTACCACCTCACCATCCTGGGCCAGTTCTAGATATTCTCAAGATGCAAGGCACCCCTTGGCACCTAGTTTTCAGCACTGATGATATTAAGTTAAGGTTTCATCTATGCAGTTCTCAAAATGGAAGATGCTTTCCATCCTCCTAGAGAGTTTTATTAATGAAATCATCAGGAGCCTGTCACACAGCATTTTTGAACATGGGTATCCAAAACTTCGGTGTTGGGAGAGTTATTACCATGGGATACAGAGCCAGACGGCTTAGACTTAGGTCCTGCCTTTTCTACTGACCAACCGAGTGACCTTAGACAAGCTCACTATTCCTTAGTGCTTGGTCTTATAGAAAAAAACAAGGAAAATGAATACTTTCCATGAGGTTTTTGTGAGAGCTAAGTGTTATTAAAGTTTTAAAAATAGTTCCTGGCATAAAAGTTCAATAAATATAGGCTGGATATGATTGTACATACTTGTAGTTCCAGCACTCAGAAGGCTGAGGTAGGAGGATCACCATGAGTTAGAGGCCAGCCTGGGCTACATAGTGAGTTCAAGTCAGTCTGGACTACATAGTACTCACTCATACTATCTTGTCTCAAAAGACAAAACAAAATACAACAACAACAACACACACATACAAGAGAAACTAAATGCACTGAACAATTAAAAGAGGTAAGTTGGCTTGCGACACAATGACAGTAAATGGAGTATAACTTTTGTTAAAGAATCATAGCTCTTATGAAAGAGGCTGCTCAGTTCTCTTCAATGATGTATTTTTGTCGGGCTGGCCAGATAGCTCAGTGGACTAAAGCACCTACTTAGGCAGAGAACAGTGGCTGGGTTCAATTCCTGGCATGCTGTGCCGGCCCTGCCCCCACGGAGTGCTGAGACAAGGGTTGAGTCTGGGCGTGGTGGCGAGCACCTGTACTCCCAGTGCTTGGGAGGCTGAAAACAAGAGACTCACTATGAGTCTGACCTATGTAGTGAGACCCTGTAGACCCTAAATACAAAAAACCAAAAACAAACAAAAACCTGCTACTATTACTACTACTAATGTATTTTTGTAGATGACCTGAAAATGTTACTTTCTTGAAAACTAGGCAATATAACATGCTGCATGAGACCTGGAAACCAATAATACACAAAGGGATAGACCTCCTATGGGCTAATTTATTTTATCATTATTGAGGTCCTAGGATTACTAAAAAAAAGTAAGTAAATCTTTGCTAAGAAATTTATTCTTAGGAAATGGCTGGACCTGAAGCCAGTAGATCCCATTATTAGATTGGTTTTGTGATTAATTGTGAGATCTAAATCTAAACCTAAATACATTCATCTAGAAATAACTTGCACTTACCTTACATAGACATGAGACAATCCAACCTCAGGGGAAAGAATTTTATAGTAAGTAAAGACACTTTGTTTAGTCTATTTGTTTATTCAGAAGAAAACTAAAGCTTCCTGTTCTGTCTTCCAAACAAAGCAAACACAGAAATCCAGAAAGGGGAAGCGACTTTTGCAGGCAAGGCTTGTCTGGTTGCTTTAGAGCACGTTCTTTCCCTGGTCAAGTTTATCTTGAGCTTGGTCTAGGTCAGAAAGTTCAAGTGACATTGGCGTGACTCTTGCAATAAGCTGAGATAGGGGGCTACGGAGATAGCGAGTGATCAAGGGCCTGCCCGGCAAGCTAAGGGCCTGGCTGAGCTCCAGCATTGCATGCCGTGCCAGCACCACACCGAGCCAGCCACCTAAACTGGGCATGGTGGAGCACATCTGCAATCGCAGCGCGGGGGAAGCTGAAACAGGAGGATCACTGAGTCTGAGTGCATAATGAGACCTATACCAAATAAACAAATAACCTGACAGGGGAAGTAATTCTATCTAGAATAAAAATCTTTTAGTTTATAAAAGTGCTGTCTCTCTTCAGCACTACAAAATAAGACTCTTGTGGTTGGCCACCAAGCTCCTATGACTTGAAGATCAGATGAGCATGACTTGATGGCCAACCATGGGAGGACCATATCTTAGAGAAATGCTAAAGAAGTGTGAGCGGATTGGAATTATCAGCCCTGACCACTGGCTCTAAAGAAATGTCAGTGACCTCTCATTCTTTAACCTAGATCAACCAAATCCTCCAATGAATGTCACAGCAGAGACTGAAGGATCTCACCTTTCCATTCAATGGGAGAAACCAGTTTCTGCCTTTCCAAGCCATTGCTTTGAGTATGAAGTGAAAATATACAACACGAATGGTTATTATCAGGTAATTCCTCATATCATTTCAATGTTCACTTATATTAATTTTAGAAGCATTGAAAAATTATATCCAGCAACTTCTATGTTTATAATTTTAAACTAATAATGTCAAAATTAGGGGCTGGGGAGATAGCTCAGTGATTTAAACAACTGCTTGGAAAGTGTAAGGTCCTGAGTTTGATCCCTGATACCAAAAAAAAAAAGAATGGCACTAACGATGTTAAAATTAACTTATAGCTACTTCAGGTATAAATCAAATCTTACAGATCTTTGGTTTTGAAAGGAGATACTTTTGGTTGAAAATAATACAGACAATCAGATTAAAAAGTTTTGGAACTATTTTGGATTAAAAGGTAAAATGGTATAGCTGCTCTGGGAAATTGAGGTGGTTCTGAGAGAGAGAAAGGGAGAGAGAGAGAGAGAGAGAGAGAGAGAGAGAGAGAGAGAGAGAGAGAGAGAGAGAGAGAGAGAGAGAGACAGACAGAGAGACAGAGAGAGAGAGAAAAAAAAGAGAGAGAGAGATTTTGAAACGAATTCTTAGATAAGTTACAATATGGTTGCTATG